AGAGATGATCTCACAAGCGAAATGCTGAGGGAGGGTGGCGTTTGTGCGCAAATTGCCCTACATGACATCATAACAACAGTCTGGACCACTGGACGGGTTCCGCAGGATTGGAAGGATGCCCTGGTGGGAGCGGTGGTGCAGTGGTTAGCGCTACGCTGCGCTATGAACCCGGCGACCCGAGTTCGATTCCCGCTCACGGCCAACACTAGCGACGATTATCTGAACCGGTCCCGGGCCTCCCCTAGGTCGACTCAGCCTAAACTCAGTACCTGGTGCGGTGTGTAAACATCGCCACTGGGGAGACAAAGGCGGTCGGGCGTGGTGCTGGTCACCCACCCCCTCGTGTACCGTGCCGGCCTCCATAGGTGCTCGCTAACAGCACTTGCCCCTACAGTCTGTTAAGGCTATATGGGGGATCTTTATCTTTGTCTTTGTGTTGGAGGAGTCTCTCTCTCTCTCTCTGCTGCGAGGGTCACTATCGGTGATATGACGACACGTGAAGTTTAATGACCCATGCAGCCCTCCACACAATCACTCTCCACACTCTTTCCCCCCCCCCCTCTCCACCCTCTCCCCCCCTCTCCCCCCTCTCTCCACCATCTCCCCCCTCTCTTCCTCCCTCTCTACACCCTCCCCCCCCTCTCTACACCCTCTCCCCCACTCTCTCCCCCCCTCTCCACCCTCTCCCCCCTCTCCCCCCTCTCCACCCTCTCCCCCCTCTCCCCCCCCCTCTCCCCCCTCTCCCCCCCCTCTCCACCCTCTCCCCCCCTCTCTCCACCCTCTCCCCCCTCTCCCCCCTCTCTCCACCCTCTCCCCCCTCTCTCCCCCCTCTCCCCCCCCTCTCCACCCCCTCTCCCCCCCTCCCCCCTCTCCTCCACCCTCTCCCCCTCTCTACAAACCCTCTCCCCCACTCTCTCCACCCTCTCCCCCCCTCTCTCCACCCTCTCCCCCCCTCTCCCCCCTCTCCCTCCCCCCCCCTCCCCCCCCTCTCCACCCTCTCCCCCGTCTCCCCCCTCTCCCCCCTCCCCCCTCTCTCCACCCTCTCCCCCAACTTTCTCCACCCTCTCTCCACCCTCTCTCCACCCTCTCTCCACCCTCTCTCCCCCCTCTCTCCACCCTCTCCCCCTCTCTCCACCCTCTCTCCACCCTCTCTCCACCCTCTCTCCACCCTCTCTCCACCCTCTCTCCACCCTCTCTCCACCCTCTCCCCCCTCTCTCCCCCCCTCCCCCCCCTCTCCTCCACCCTCTCCCCCCTCTCTACACCCTCTCCCCCCTCTCTACACCCTCTCCCCCCCTCTCTCCACCCTCTCCCCCCCTCTCCCCCCTCTCCTCCCCCCTCTCTCCCTCTCTCCACCCTCTCTCCACCCTCTCTCCACCCTCTCTACACCCTCTCTCCACCCTCTCCCCCCTCTCCACCCTCTCTCCCCCTCTCCACCCTCCCCCCCCCCTCTCCACCCCCCCCTCTCCACCCTCCCCCCCCTCTCTTCCTCCCTCTCTACACCCTCTCCCCCACTCTCTCCCCCCCTCTCTCCACCATCTCCCCCCCCTCTCCACCCTCTCTACACCCTCTTTCCCTCCCACCCCTCTCTTCCTCCCCCTCCTCTCTTCCCCCCTCTCTCCACCCTCTCCCCCCCCTCTCCACCCTCTCCCCCCCTCTCCCTCCCTCTCTCCACCCTCCCCCCTCTCCCACCCTCTCCCCCCCTCTCTCCCCCCCTCTCTCCCCCCCCACTCTCCACCCTCTCCACCCTCTCTCCACCCTCTCCCTCCCATATATTCACACAGAGACCCAGACTCACAAAAAGACACATTGACTCACAAACACGTTCCTTCGGAGTGGGCAGGTAGGAACTTGGTTGGACAGTGCATTCGTGCACGACAGACAGACAAATAATCCCTGGTGGGCAGTGTGGAACCTGTTGTTCCTACCTGTATGTATACAAGATAACTTGACTTTAGGTAGCCAGGCAGACAGCCCCCTTCACTATCGCCCCCTCCTCCCTTAGGCCCCTCCCCCCTTAGGCCCCTCCCCTGACCACCCCCCCCCCATATCCTCAGGCCCCTCCCCTGACCCCCCTTCTGTTAGGCCCTTCCCCTGAGGGGCCCCCATATCCTCAGGCCCCTCCCCTGACCCCCCCTCCCTCAGGCCCCTCAGCTGACCCCCCCCTCAGGCCCCTCTCCTGACTCTCCCTCCCTCAGGCCCCTCCCCTGAACCCCCCCTCAGGCCCCTCCCCTGACTCCCCCCTCCCTTAGGCCCCTCCCCTGACCCCCCCTCAGGCCCCTCTCCTGACCCCCCCCTCAGGCCCCTCTCCTGACTCCCCCCTCCCTCAGGCCCCTCCCCTGACCCTCCTCCCTTAGGCACTTCCCCTCTCCGTACCCGGCAGTAGGTCTCCACCAATCAAAGAGCTGTTTGTATTATATATTTATTTATGCACGACAGACAGTCAGACAAACAGACAGCTAAATAATCCCTGGTGGGCAGTGTGGAACATTGTTCCTCCCTGTAAAAGACACAGACTCACACAGAGACCCATAGACTCACACAGAGACACATAGACTCACAAAGAGACACATTGACTCACACAGAGACCTATAGACTCACACAGAGACTCATAGATTCACACAGAGACCCATCGACTCACACAGAGACCCATAGACTCACACAGAGACACATACTCACAAAGAGACACATAGACTCACACAGAGACCCATAGACTAACACAGAGACCCATCGACTCACACAGAGACCCATAGACTCACACAAAGACCCATAGACTCACAAAGAGACCCATAGACTCACAGAAACCCATCGACTCACAGTGACCCATAGACTCACACAGACAGCCATAGACTCACACAGAGACACATAGACTCACACAGAGACCCATCGACTCACAAAGAGACCCATAGACTCACACAGAGACCCATAGATTCACACTGAGACCTGTCGACTTGTAGCGTCGGAAATACGTATGCACACACCGCCCAATGCTTGCTTACCTGCAGTTGCGGCCAAGGGTCTGTAGGGGGAGAGAGCCGAACCCGAGAGAGGCTGGGATCCCCTCCCCGACCCCAGGTGAGGGGCTGGGGGGGGGGGGGGGGCCTTTCCAGGGCCCCCTGGAAGGTTCCAGAAAGGGGGCGGTACCGGGGGCAGAGACTCCCCGGGACGAGTATAAAAGGCGGCTCTCAGCCGGCTCGAGGCAGTGCTACGAAGACTGAAGACTGAAGACCAGCGAGGCTAAGACTTTGGGACCCTGGGATCCTGGGACCCTGGGACCCCGGGACCCCAGGACCCCGGGAACCCGGGAACCCGGGACCCCGGGAACCCGGGACCCCGGGACCCCGGGAACCCAGGACCCCGGGAACCCGGGACCCTGGGAACCCAGGACCCTGGGACCCCGGGACCCTGGGACCCCGGGACCCTAGGACCCCGGGAACCCGGGACCCCGGGAACCGGGGACCCTGGGAACCGGGGACCCTGGGAACCCGGGACCCTGGGAACCCGGGACCCCAGGACCCCGGGAACCCGGGAACCCGGGACCCTGGGAACCCGGGACCCCGGGAACCCGGGACCCCGGGGACCCTGGGAACCCGGGACCCCAGGAACCCGGGACCCCAGGAACCTGGGACCCTGGGAACCTGGGAACCCAGGACCCCGGGACCCCGGGAACCTGGGACCCTGGGAACCTGGGACCCTGGGACCCCGGGACCCCAGGACCCCGAGAACCCGGGACCCCGGGAACCCGGGACCCCGGGAACCCGGGATCCCGGGGACCCTGGGAACCCGGGACCCCGGGACCCCAGGAACCCGGGACCCCAGGAACCCCGGGACCCTGGGAACCTGGGAACCCAGGACCCCGGGAACCCGGGACCCTGGGAACCTGGGACCCTGGGACCCCGGGACTCCAGGACCCCGGGAACCTGGGACCCCGGGACCCCAGGACCCCGGGAACCCGGGAACCCGGGACCCCGGGAACCTGGGACCCCGGGAACCCGGGACCCCGGGGACCCTGGGAACCCGGGACCCCAGGAACCCGGGACCCCAGGAACCCGGGACCCTGGGAACCTGGGAACCCAGGACCCCGGGACCCCGGGACCCCGGGAACCCGGGACCCTGGGAACCCGGGACCCGATGTCCTTGTGAGGGCGGGGGCCGAGCACGGACCAGTGGTCGGGACCCGCACCTTGGCTGGGTGGGGTCAGTCAGCCTCCCCGAGGTCACCCTTAGCCGGAGGGCTCCGAGTTACCCCGAGTGATAGGGTACGCTAGGCCCGGAGGCTGTGCCTCCCTAGAGAGCGGGGTAAGGGTGGTTGAGTTACTGTGTCGTCAATGAAAGTGTTGCCTCCAAGTGAACGTCTCAAGTCTCCTGGAACAGACTCACACGGACCCATAGACTCACACGGACCCATAGACACACACAGAGACCCTTAGACTCACGCAGATACCCTTAGACTCACATAGAGAACCATAGACTCACACAGAGAACCAGACTCACAAAAATATACATTGAATCACACAGAGACCCTTATACTCACACAGAGACCCATAGACTCACACAGAGACCCATAGACTCACACAGAGACCCAGACTCACACAGAGACTCATAGACTCACACAGAGACACATAGACTCACTTAGAGACCCATAGACTCACGCAGAGACCCATATACTCACACAGAGACCCATAAACTCACACAGAGACCCATAGGCTCACACAAAGACCCATAGACTCACACAAAAACCCATAGACTCACACAGAGACACATAGACTCACACAGAGCACACAGAGACACATAGACTCACACAGAGACCCATAGACTCACACAGAGACCCATAGACTCACACAGAAACCCAGACTCACAAAAAGACACATTGACTCACACAGAGACACATTGAGTCACTCACACAGATACCCATAGACTCACACTTTGCGAGTCTGTATAGCGATTCAATTCGCGGTATCATTTTCTCACGGACAATTCATTAAACCAATACAGCACAGGGGGAACGGCAAAAACCATCATTTATTGAACAACAATCATCATCATACAGGGACTCCTCTGCTTACGAACGAGTTAGGTTTTAGAGTTACGTGTTCGCAAGTCGATTTATTTTCTCCTGCAGATGTAGATGCCACTGGTTCTTCACGTTATGTAGATGTAGATGCCACTGGTTCTTCACGTTCTGCAGATGGAGATGCCACCACCGCTATCGGTTGCATGGGTCGATTGAACTCACCGCCTCTCGAACAGGCTGCAACTGGACCGCACGGTGACCGGGCCTTTGTTTATATCCCTGAAAGTTCGCGAGTAGCGGAGTACCCAGTACTGACTCAGTACTGACACGCCCGTCATTGTGTAATAAAGGTCGTTGAGGCGACTTCTGGAATCCGGTCTTTTATTCAACTTGTATTACAGTTTCCTTCACGCTGCTGGCAGGCAGCGTGAGAGGGACAGATAGAGAGAGAGACGCACCGCCACGTGGCAGCCTGGACCACGTGGCAGCCTGGACCACGTGGCAGCCTGGACCACGTGGCAGCCTGGACCACGTGGCAGCCTGGACCACGTGGCAGCCTGGACCACGTGGCAGCCTGGACCACGTGGCAGCCTGGACCACGTGGCAGCCTGGACCACGTGGCAACCCGGAGCCCCGCTCCCGCGTGGCCCCCTTCCTCCGTTCGTTCCCGTTCTGACCACGTGTCGTTCGTCTCCACCCCTATTTAATACCCGGGTCACGTGGTACGTTTCCACCAATCCTGGTTAGCCGCCCATGGAATATTCCAGACTCCCTGGTAGGCTCCCAGGACCACGCCCCTGACTCGTCTCCCCATTGGCTGTGGCCAAAGCCAGCAGAACCAATCATCTACTTGCAGCTGTCACCTATCCATTACGTCAGGGCCACGCCCCTAGGCTTCCCCCCCATTGGCTATAGACCAGGACCGGCAGAGCCAATCATCGTGACGAGTTGTGATACGTCAGTGAGCCGGATATATCCTCACATTACAATTGTATATCGCGTGACGATACAAAGTCGAAGGGCGCATTTACGTAGAAACACGAAACACATAAACCACGACGCTAAGGAAATGGACCTCCGAGTAAATTAAATATAAATACAACTTCGACAGTGCTGCAGGCTTCACAGCGGTGCCGTGCGTTCGCCACAGGGGACTGGGCCTCCCCTAGGTCGACTCAGCCTCAATTGAGTACCTCGATACGGTGTGAGTGACAAACGTCGTCAATTGGGGAAGACAAAGACGTCCGAGCGGGCTTGGTGCTGACCACCCACCCCTCGTGTGTCACTGTGCTGGTAGCCTTCAAAGGTGCTGCTACTCGCTAACAGCACTTGCCCCTACAGTCTGCTAGAGGCTACACGGGGGGACTTTGTCTTTGCAATCAGGCAGAGTGGGGGAGGATAACAAAAATATACTCAGCTAACCACTCAGCCACCCAGCCACTCAACTACCCACTCAGCCACTCAGCTACTCAGTCACTCATCTACCCACTCAACTACCCACTCAGCCACCCAGTAATTCAGCTACTCAGTCACTAAGCTACTCACTCAGCTACCCACTCACTCGGCTACCCACTCAGCTACCCACTCAGCTACCCACTCACTCAGCCATCCAGTCACTCAGCTACCCACTCAGCTACCCACTCACTCAGCCAACCAGCTACCCACTCACTCAGCCACCCACTCAGCTACCCACTCACTCAGCCACTCAGCTACCCACTCACTCAGCCACTCACTCAGCTACCCAGCCACTCAGCTACCCACTCAGCCACTCAGCTACCCACTCAGCTACCCACTCAGCTACCCACTCACTCAGCCAACCAGCCACTCAGCTACCCACTCAGCTACCCAGCCACCCAGCCAGTCAGCTACCCACTCAGCCACCCACTCAGCCACCCACCCAGCCACTCAGCTACCCACTCAGCTACTCAGTCACTCAGCTTCCCACTTAGCTACCCACTCACTCACCCACTCAGCTACCCAGCCACTCAGCCACTCAGTCACTCAGTCACTCAGCTACCCACTCAGCCACTCAGTCACTCAGCTACCCACTCAGCCACCCAGCCACTCAGCTACCCAGCCACCTCAACAGCAGGCTGTGTGATATGCAAATTACCAAGTGCTAAACTAGCGTGAGGCTATACGCGGTCCCTTTAAAATACAAAGCCATACAGAGTGCTACGTTTAAATATCGATACCCCAATGACTTAATAGGGCTTGCCGATCCTCTTATCCGGATACTATTATCGGCAAAATCCCCATATCCGCCACTCCATTAACCCACATCAAGTGGCAGCCGCTGTCGTGGCGGTGACGTCACCACGGCGCTCGTGCCAGGCTAGGTGCACCTTGAGGCCGCCACGTGAAGTGTGGTAAGGCAGACAACCCCAGGTGCCATTGGTTGACTGCCGTGCCAGGCTAGGTGCAGCAGGTCAAGGGACTTGACCCCAGGTGCTATTGGTTGTCTGCCGTGCCAGGCTAGGTGCATGAGGAGGTCACGGGAAGGTCCCAGGTGCTATGGGTTGACTGACTGCGATGATTGGCAGATGCACCACCCGTGCCCCCTACTGTGCCAACTTGCTGCGTTTTAGCCACCCGGCGCTCCGCTCGTTGTTGTGAGCGTCGCTCCTCCGCCCTCCGTTGTTGTTGTTGCTGGATGGCGACTGTCTCTAACTGGCCAGCAGCCTAAACGTGCACCTAGCCTGGCACTGCCCAGTAGCGTCCTTCACGACTCTCCTCCTCCACACAGACCGATCTTGACACCGCTGGTACCGGTCATCGGCAAGTCCACTCAGCTCCACGTCTTCCCGTAACCCCATCAGCTCCATCTCTTCTCGAGCCCGTTTCGCCCCCTCTATCCGGCCAAACAGAAGCTGCTTGACCATATGGTGCTTGGGCATGCGGGCTACGTGAGCCAGCCACCCACACACCCACAACCACACAACCACACACACAACAACAACAACAATCGCCACTCACCACTAAATGGTGGTGGTGTCACCGCTGTGCTTATGTGCACTTGAAGGCCACGTGAAGTGTTGAACGCCCGCTAACGGAAGTTCACGGGAAAGACCCAGCAGGTGCCATGGGTTAACTGACTGAGCTGACTGTCCGATGCACCACCTGTGCCCCCTACTGTGCCAACTTGCTGTGTTTTAGCCGCCCGACGCTCCGCTCGTTGTTGTGAGCGTCGCTCCTCCGCCCTCAGTTGTTACTGGAGGGGGACTGCCTCCAACTGCCCAGTAGCGTCCTTCACGAGCCTCCTCCACTGAGGCCGATCTTGACACCGCTGGTACCAGTCATCGGCAAGTCTACTCAGCTCCACATCCTCCTGTACCACATCACTCCATCTCTTCTCTAGCCCGTGCCGCGCCAGTTTAGCCCCCTCGATCCGGCCGAACAAAAGCTGTTTAGGCATGCGGTGGCTGGGCATGCGGGCTACATGACCCAGCCAACGCAGCCTTGCCTGCCGGAGGAGCTCACCGATGGGACTTTGTCCAGATCTTTCGAGGATTTGTGAGCTCCACACAAAATTAAACCCAGGATGGATCATAGGCAGGCCAGCCTAAATGTTTCTAACCGGCGACGATATTCCACTAGGGGGGTCCACGTTTCGCAAGCGTAGAGAAGGGAGGGAATGACTGTGACCGAGAAGACCTGAAGCTTCATGTGGAGTGACGGACCAGGTTAGTTCTACACAGCGTTACACTCGACTGATTCGGAGTGAGACCTCCGCTATCAAACCAGAGCTGGTCTTAAGCACACTGCCCAAGTAGGGAAAACTCTCCACTCTCTCCACAACTGCCCCACCACCAAAGGGGAGTTGAGGGGGTGGAGTGTTTAATGGCACAAAATACCCAGGCAGGTGCTTCTTTCTGATGGGGCTGATGGTAAGGCCCCACCTCTTAGTGGCACGCTCCAGTTTCAGCAGCAGCGCCTCCAACTCCTCCTCTGAGTGAGCCGCAATTTCCAGGTCGTCGGCATACATAACGTGGGTGACCAATAGGGAGCCATCCCTTGACCGCACCCGGGCGTCGATCAACCTCCCATTATATCTGTACCAGATGGAAATTCCTCCGGTGCAGCCATGGAAGGCGTCACGAACTACGTGGTCAAAAAATATGTGAAATAATGTGGGAGCCAGAGGACATCCCTGTCGCACTCCAAGGTGTACAGGGAATGGCTCCGACTCCCGGCCACGTGGCTTCACCCGGGCCCGCTCACTATCACGAAGGTCCTTAATGAGCGTGAGCAGAGGGTCAGGGACTCCAAAAGCACAAAAAACAACCCAGAGCCCAGGCCTACTGATGATATCATAGGCCTTTATCAGGTCAATCAAGCAGATATGTAGGTCCTGATGGAATTCTCTACACCTCTGCTGTAGCAGACGGACAGAAAATATGGCATCTGTGCAGGACCACCCTTTCCTGAAACCGCATTGGGGCTCCGCAAGCCTCTCCTCAGCGTGCCTTGCAAGGCGATGTTGAATAATCCTTGCCAGGACCTTTCCCGGCACACTGAGGAGTGAGATGCCCTTGTAGTTGTTACAGTCTGTGCGGTCCCCCTTCCTAAAGAGGGGGACCACCAGGGCATCCATCCAATCCTGCGGAACCCGTCCAGTGGTTCAAACTGTTGTTATGATGTCATATAGGGCACAGCCTCAGCAGGGTCATCCCCACTTTGCCCCACGATGTTTTGCAGGCTGAGAAATTTCCTCTCCCCCAAGACCTCAAAGAAACGCTCATCAAATCTGCAAACCTGTTCCTGGGGGGTCAGAGATTGGATCACCGTTCTTTCCCCTGAGGATGATAATAGGTGTGGCACTGTAAGTTCCTTTTTTGATGGAGTTAAAGAGCGATTTGTGATCGCGGGCTGCTGAGGCAGACTCCATCTCCTCAGCAACCCGCAACCACCACTCATCCTTGCAGCGCCACACGGCTTTCCGAACATCCAAGCGAAGGCTGCGGTAAGCCTCCTCATTGATAATTGGTTTTTACCCTTTTATCTGGCAACAAAACTGACACCTTTTTTTGACAAGTAGTCATGTTTGCATTGACCACAATACCTGCGGTCGGAATGCAAACAAAAAACACAACTCTGATCATGTATGCACTGTCCTTGAAGTTGATTGGTCCACACCCGAGACAGCTTTTCTTAGAGCCTAGTCTCACATGGTGTTGGACCAGATGGCTTTTTCTCAATCAGCCGGAACACCTCCTCTGTCAGCCAGGGTGTATGGGGAGGTTTGGACCGTGTACCCAAAGCAGGCATTGAAGCTGCATGAGCCACAGTCCTAAACCTCGCCCATTTCCCCTCGGCATCAGGAGGAGTGGGGGGTGATGCCAACCCCAGCCGCAAGCGATGATGCAATTCTCGCTTGCAACTTTCATCAGCTGGCTGAGACCAGGCCACTATGGGTTTGAATGGGGTCCTAGATGGACACCCACCACCAGAGTGGAAGAATGGTAGGTGCATCTTACAGATGACAAGTCGATGGTCAGTAGGCAGATCAGCTCCACGGTAGGTCCTGGTGTCATGGACATGGGCTCGCATCCGCTGGTCCATCACTATGTAGTCCAGCAGATGTTCTTGCTTGGACCCGGCATGCATCCATGATGTTGTGTGGATGCGCCGATGCCGGAACAGCGTGTTCGAAATTACAAGCCCATGGGCTGCACAACAATCTAGCAGCCTCCTGCCGTTGTTATTGAGCTGATCTGGCCCATGCCTTCTAATCACTCCAGACCAGGTGCCAGCATCATGACCAACTCAGGCATTGGAGTCACCCAACAGGATGACTCAAGGGACCACTTTAGCTAGCACCTGAGACAGGAGGTCATAGAAGGCATCTGACTCATTGACCTTGCATGCATTCCTCCACGGATGTTCATCTTCGGTGGGTGCATAAGTAACCACCACCACTCCTCGCCTCCGGTTGATAGGAAGGCGAGCCCACATTAGCCTGGGGCTTACAACTTCCCACACCTCACCTCACCGCCACGCTCCCACATTCATTCTTTTGTTCAAAAGAAGAGCCACTCCTTGCTGTTTGGTAGTTCCCTGCCCCGAGTGGAGAAATGTCCACCCCTAGTGATGACAGGAGCCAGAACCGATCCACCAGGCCTCCTGTATTGCACAGAGGTTCAGGCCGTTATGGGTCCATCTCCCGGCAGAGGAGAGGCAGTCTCTCCTCCGCAACGAGAGTTCGGACATTCCACGTGGCCAATCTCAGTGTTCCTGGGTGAACGCTGAGAGGGGTGGGTGGAGGGGGGGTGGGTTCAGTCTCCTGGCTCTGCCAGATGGAGTTCGGCCAGAAGGCGTCACGAACGCCTGTCCCCCCCGGGGTCTCTAGCGCCGATTTCATTTCAGTGTTTCTAGCGTGGTGCTTGCTAGAGAAACAGTGCCAGGCGGAAGTGTTACCAGCCCCTCGCACGCACCGATCCATCTACATCAGGGGTGGGGATATTTACAACGTCATTCGCGGGCCATATACAATTATCAACTTAAAAATTAGCCCGTTCTATTGGGTCAAACATTTCATTAACTCACCCCTAATGTCATGGCTCGAACAGATTAATTCATTTGCGGGCCTTTAGGCCCGCGGGCCGGACGTTCCCCACCCCTGATTTACATGGACACCCCCCACCCACAACAACAACAACAACTGCCATTCGCCACTAAGTGGTGGTGACATCACCACGACGCTTGTGGCAGGCCAAGTGCACCTTGAGGCCACGTGAAGTGTCGAACGCCCGCTGGCAGGAGGTCACGGGGCAGACCCAGCAGGTGCCACGGGTCAACTGACCGAGATGACTGAGATGACTGGCTGATGCACCACCTGTGCCCCCTACTGTACCAACTTGCTGTGCTTTAGCCACCCGGCGCTCCGCTCGTTGTTGTGGGCGTCGCTCCTCCGCCCTCCGTTGTTGTTGGAGGGCGACTTCCTCCAACTGCCCAGTAGCGTCCTTCACGAGCCTCCTCCACAGAGGCCGATCTTGACACCGCTGGTACCAGTCATCGGCAAGTCCACTCAGCTCCACGTCCTCCTGTACCACGTCACTCCATCTCTTCTCTAGCCCGTGCCGCGCCCGTTTAGCCCCCTCGATCCGGCCAAACAAAAGCTGCTTAGGCATGCGGTGGCTGGACATGCGGGCTACATGACCCAGCCAACGCAGCCTTGCCTGCCGGAGGAGCTCACCCACAACACACACAGCCACACACCTCTACGCATCAGCCACTAGAGGCCGCTACACCGCGTGGTGCTGCTGCTGCTGCTGGAGGAGGCGCGTGATTTCGGCCATGAGGCCTCCAGCGTCCGTGGGCCTCGCTACGTCCTCGCCCAGCCTCGACAGGGCCTCCTCGAAGCCCACCTCCTCCTCCTCAACCTCCTCCACAACCACCTCCTCCACCTCTTCAGCCGCCGCCACCACCTCGTCAACCTCCACCTCCTCGCCCACCCTCTGACGGCCTCCGTGACGCTTCTTCTGAGCGGGCCGCGTGGAGGAGCTCCGGCCGACGTTCGGATCCTTCGTGAAGGATCCGCGGCCTTCCGGATCCTTCGTGGAGGAGCCCCCGCCGACATTCGGATCCTTCGTGAAGGAACTGCGTCCGTGCAAATCATTCGTGGAGGAGCCCCGGCCGACGTGCGGATCCTTCGTGAAGGAACCACCGCCGCGTGGATCCTTCGTGAAAGATCCGCGGCCTTCCGGATCCTTCGTGGAGGAGCCCGGAGGGACGCTGACGGCCTCCGACCGGCCGCGGAGACCCACCGGACCTCTGGCGGCGCCGTAGTGGACGGGACCCGATGGGGTAGCGGCGGTGGCGGTAGCGGTGGCGGCGTGGAGATTGGCCGAGATCTTGATGGGGCTCGGTGAACTGGTGGTGGTGCCGGTGCCGGTGCCGGTGGTGGTGAGTCCGGTGAGTCCGGTGAGTCCGGGGAGAGCGTGAGGACTTGCGGAGGTTTTGGGTCGAGCCGTTGATGGCTCCCTGATGGGAGTCGATGAACTCCGAAGGGCGATGGAGGCAGCGTCATCGTCGTCGTCGTCGTCGGCTGAACCCACAAACTCGTCGTCATCGTCGTCGTCGAGACTCGGAACTCCTTCAACGAGATGCTGATGATGGTGCTGCTGATGATGATGATGAGACAGCTGCTGCTGATGCTGCTCATACTGCTGCTGCTCATGCTGATGATGATGATGATGAGGCTGATGGGATATCTGCTGCTGATGCTGGTCATGCTGCTGCTGCTGCTGATGATGATGAGGATGATGAGGCTGATGAGACCTCTGCTGATGATGCTGTCCATGCTGCTGCTGCTGCTGATGATGATGAGGATGATGATGCTGCTGGTCATGCTGCTGCTGCTGCTGATGATGATGATGATCAGACATCTGCTGCTGCTGACGATGCTGTTGCTGCTGCTCGTGCTGCTGCTGATGACGCTGCTGATGATGCTGCTGATGCTGCTGATGATGATGATGCTGCTGATGCTGCTGATGATGATCATGTAGACTCTCCTGGAGATGACCACTCGTCATCTCCATGTATTGAAGCCGAGCCGCCGATGACGACGACTCTCCGTGCGAGACGGGAGATAATGACGATGATTGCGCTGATGATGCTGCTGATGATGGCGCTGATGATGGCGGTGTTGTTGGGATCAGCTGAGACCCCATCTGAGCCTTGCCAAATGTCGAAAACGGCAGCTGATGCTGCTGATGATGCTGCTGCTGATGATGATGTGGATCATGATGATGATGATGATGCAGATCATCGTGATGATGATGATGTTGATACTGCTGCTGTTGATGCTGCTGTTGTAGCTGCTGCTGCTGATGATGAAGTTGCTGATGATACTGCTGATGCTGATGGCCGTACTGCAGCAGATTTTCATAAATCTGCTGCTGATGCTGCTGATGATGTTGCTGCTGATGATACTGGTGCTGCTGATGATGTTGCTGCTGCTGCTGATGATGATGTTGTGGAGGATGATGTGTGTCGGGTGACGTCTTCGGGAAGATGACGTCACCTCGACACCAGCGAGCTGACGATGCTGCTGCTGCTGCTGATCCTGAAACGGAGGCAGGATTTAGTGATTTGATCATCTGGTGGGGGGTCTGGTGGGAGGTCTGGTGGGAGGTCTGGTGGGAGGTCTGGTGGGAGGTCTGGTGGGAGGTCTGGTGGGAGGTCTGGTGGGAGGTCTGGTGGGAGGTCTGGTGGGAGGTCTGGTGGGAGGTCTGGTGGGAGGTCTGGTGGGAGGTCTGGTTGGAGGTCTGGTGGGAGGTCTCGTGGGAGGTCTGGTGGGAGGTCTGGTTGGAGGTCTGGTGGGAGGTCTCGTGGGAGGTCTGGTGGGAGGTCTGGTGGGGGGTCTGGTGGGCGGTCTGGTGGGAGGTCTGGTGGGAGGTCTGGTGGGAGGTCTGGTGGGAGGTCTGGTGGGAGGTCTGGTGGGAGGTGTGGTGGGGGGTCTGGTGGGGGGTCTGGTGGGAGGTCTGGTGGGAGGTGTGGTGGGAGGTCTGGTGGGAGGTCTGGTGGGAGGTCTGGTGGGAGGTCTGGTGGGGGGTCTGGTGGGAGGTCTGGTGGGAGGTGTGGTGGGAGGTGTGGTGGGAGGTCTGGTGGGAGGTGTGGTGGGAGGTGTGGTGGGAGGTCTGGTGGGAGGTGTGGTGGGAGGTCTGGTGGGAGGTCTGGTGGGAGGTCTGGTGGGAGGTCTGGTGGGGAGGTCTGGTGGGAGGTCTGGTGGGGGGTCTGGTGGGGGTCTGGTGGGAGGTCTGGTGGGAGGTCTGGTGGGAGGTCTGGTGGGAGGTCTGGTGGGGGGTCTGGTGGGAGGTCTGGTGGGAGGTGTGGTGGGAGGTGTGGTGGGAGGTCTGGTGGGAGGTCTGGTGGGAGGTCTGGTGGGAGGTGTGGTGGGAGGTGTGGTGGGAGGTCTGGTGGGAGGTCTGGTGGGAGGTCTGGTGGGAGGTCTGGTGGGAGGTCTGGTGGGAGGTGTGGTGGGAGG